CATTCGTAACGGTTCTTTAGTAACGATTCCTTTTCGAAGGTTCCTTGGTAAATAGTCTCTAGGCAATCGTCCTCACTAGATACTCTTAGGTAAATATACCCGTCCAAGGATTCCTGCGTGAAAACTCCTTATCAACAAATCCGTAAGACAGATTCCGTACTAAGGACTCCTTTTGTTACAATTCTTGATTAAGGATTATTCACTACACATTCCTTACGGAGGGATCCTTAACACAGGCTCCGTCCCAAGGATTTCGTAGTAACGAATGTCGGATAAGGGTTCCTCCATGAAGATTTCTCATTAAGGATTCCCCCGAAGAGACTATTGACCAACTATTCCTTGCGTAGCGATTTTTTTCTCTCTCTAAGGGTTCCTTAGTGCATATTCCCCAGTCAGGGTTCCTCTGTGATGTCGTTTTTTGTTGTCAGGGCTCCTTAATAATTCTTTCTTAGTAGGTACTATTCAACGCCAAGCTTTACCTAACGATGCCAGGCAATGGCAAGAGCAGGGCCACCCATTGCCAAGCACCGCCAATCACGACCAAGCAATGCAAAGCAAGGCCAAGTACGACCAACCAATACCACTCACCTCAAACAAATGCCCAACAGTGTCAAACACGACCAAACAATTCCGCACAACGCAAAGCACGACCAACCAATGCCAAGCACGACCATCCAATGCCAAGAATTTCGTACCAATGCCACGGGATGGCAAGAGCAGGACCACACATTGCCAAGCACCGCCAAACATGACCAACCACTGCCAAGCAATGCCAAGCACGACCAGTCAATGCCATGCGCGACCAAGCAATCCCAAACATGACCAACCAACGCCACGCGATGCCAAGCGCGATTGCTCAATTCCGCACACGACCAAGCAATGCCAAGCAATTCGAGGGTCGACCACTCAATGCCATGCACAACCTCGCAATGCTGAGCAATGCCAAGCACGAGTGACCAATGCGAAGCAAAGCCAGCACGAACATTCAATGCCAAACACAACCAAGTAGCGCAAAGAACAACCAACCAGTGCTAAGCAGGACTATTGGATGGCAAACAGTTCCAACCATGACCAACCAATGCCAAACAATGCCTCGCGTATTAACACTGGATCATCTCATTCGCACCAGGACCAGAACATCCCAAACATGTAGCGGGTGGCCAGGGGGCGGTGGCGGGGGTGGTTGGGGGTATTTGGGGAGCGCTTTTTTTTGGGGGGGGGAGGCAGGGAGGGGGTCTGGCTGATATTTTTGTTTTGGCTCCCCCCTCACCCCCCCAGGCGGCGCCGCGGGCGGTAGGGGGGGCGTTCTGGCCTCTCGCCCTTTCCTTCCTCTCCCGCTCCCTCCCTTTCCCCTCCCTCTACCGCACCGCTCCAGCACCTTGTTCTCTCTCTCTCTCACTCTCTCTCTCTCTCTATCCTCTCTCTCTCTCTCTTGCTCTCTCTCTCTCTATCTCTCTCTCTCTCTCTCTCTCTCTTTTTTTTTTTTTTTTTTTTTTTTTTTTTTTTTTCTCTCTCTCTCTCTCTCTCTCTCTCTCTCTATATATACACATATCCGACCCTCCGTCCCTCCCTCCCTCTCTCCCGCTCTCTCTCGATGTACCTCGCCCTCCTTCTCACCCCCACCCACGTTCCAACGCGCACCTCGGAAGTCAATCGTGCCGCGCGTCGGCCCCCCAGACCGCCACCCCAAAATCCCCCGTACTCGGAAAACCGGGGGGTGTCACTACCGGTTCGAGCCCCCCCCTCCCCCTCCAGAAAACCAGAAGAACTCACTGCCGGTTCGGACGCCTCCCCCCTTCCAGAAAACCGGGAGAGGTCACTACCGGTTCGAAAACCCCTCCCCATCCTCCAAAAAACAAGGGGGTCACTACCGGTTCGAACTCCCCCATCCCAGAAAACCGGGGGGGATCACTACTGATTCGAACCCCCCCCTCCGGAAAACTGGGGGGGGCCACTACCGGTTCGACCCCCCCCCCCCGCCCCACTCCAGAAAACTGGGGGGGTGTCACTACCGGTTCGACCCCCCCCCCCCCACGCTCACCGCCAGCAAACGACTCCCGGGTCCCTACCACCGTCCGCAGCACCACTGTCCCCGCATCCCCCACTGCTGTCCCCAGCACCACTGCCCTCACCACCACTGTCCCCGCTGTTCCCACCACCGTCCCCACTGTCCCCACCAGTGCCCCATCAGTGCCCCCACCACTGTCGCACTGTCCCCACTGTCCCCACCACTGTTCCCACTACGGTTCCACTCTCCCTACTTTCTCCACGGCCCCAACCACTGTCCCACTGTCCCCACTGTCCCACTGTCCCCGCCGCTGTCCCACTGAGCTGCCCCACTGTTCCCACCAGTGTCCCCACTGTACCTCTGTCCCATTGTCCCACCACTGTCCTCGCCACCGCCCTCACCACTGTCCCCACCACCACTGTACCCTCCACTGTCCCAATGTTTCCACCACATTCCCACTGTCCCCACACCACTGTCCCCACCACCACCGTCCCCACCACTGTCCCACTGTCCCCACTGTTCCCACCATTGTCCCCGCTGTCCCCACCAGTGCCCCCCACCAGTGTCTCACTGTCCCCACTCTCCCCACCATTGTCCCACCACGGTCCCACTCTCCCCACATTCCCCACTGCCCCACCACTGTCCCTCTATCCGCACTGTACCCATCACTGTCCCACTGTCCCCGCCGCTGTCCCACTGTGCTGTCCCACCGTCCCCACTGTCCCCACCACTGTCCCACTGTCCCCACTGTCCCCACCACTCCCCACTGTACTACTGTCCCACCACTGTCCTCACCACCGCCTTCACCACTGTCCCCACCACTACCGTCCCCACCACTGTCCCACTGTCCCCACCACTGTCCCGCTGTCCCCTCACCACTGTCCCCACCACCACCGTCCCCACCACTGTCCGCACCACTGTCACACTGTCCCCGCACCACTGTCCCCACCACCACCGTTCCCACCACTGTCCCAGCATCCCCACCACTGTCCAACTGTCCTGTCCCGAGGAGCGGGAATCGTTTGCCGGCGGCGAGGGGGGGGGGTTCGAACCAGTAGTGACCCCCATCCCGGTTTTCGAGGGGAGGGGATGTCGAACCGGTAGGTGACCTCCCCTTTTTCAGGATCGGATGGGGGTTCGAACCCCGGCAGTGACACCACCCCCCCCCCCGGGTTCTGGGGGGGGGGGGGGGGGGGCCCGGGTTGGGAACCCCCAGTGACCCCCCTCTGTTTTCCGCCAGCCGCGGCAGAACACGCTCTTTCATATACAGTGCACTCCAGGGCGGCGACGAGGCGGCGACGGCAACCACGTAGCCGCCAGGCCGAAGACACGTCCCAGACGACGGGCGGCGACGAGGCTGCGACGGGGCGGCGACGAGGGCCACATAGCTGCCAGACCGAAGACACGGCCCAGACGACGAGCGGCGACGAGGCGGTGACGGCGGCCACATAGCCGCGAAACGGCCCAATTCTCCAGAACAGAAGACAGACCCCCTGAGTGCAAGCACTGCTTGGGGAACGGAGGGTTTTTCGGTGACGCCCACGAGAAGGTCCAAGGATCCTCAAGAACGCCTAGCCGGTCTTCTAGACGCCCCCCCTGATGGCTCCAACTCGGCCCAGGACAGCCCCAAGACGGCCCCCCCTTCCCCCCCACGGTCCCAAAACGACCCCACGACATCCGAATGGACGCCGAGATTGCCCCAGGGGGCCCAATGAGAGCCCCAGAGGACTCTCAACAAAACCCTGCACGGCCCCAGGAGGGCCACGAGACAAGCCCAAATGTTCGGCCGCAAGCATGTCCAGACTATGCCTTCCAGCACTCACAAATTCGCCGACCCCTTGTGGGTCTCCAGGCGTGTGAGATCCTTCCCCCCCAATCCCCCCCCCACGGACCCGAACCCGGGAATTTGACCACCCACCGGCCACAAACGACCGCTGGCCGAACTCACCCGGGGAGGGTTCCGCGCTCACCAGGGGGGTCTGGTTCTCCCCAGGCTCCTCCTGTTGCCTCTGAATGGCTCTCGACGGCCCCAAGACGACGAAGAAAACCATAAGGCTCTAAACAAGGTCCAATTCGCCTCCGAGACGGTCTACGAAGCCTCGAAGACGCACCCACAGGCCTCCGCAAGCACTCCCAGGAGAGCTCCAACATGCAAACATCATACACGTTCCATCAACTTTCCAAGGATGCTGGTGTTCTCGCTTTCTCGGCCTCCCGACGCTCCCACGCAGGGCCACAGACTCCAAACATTGCTCCCCGACAGCTGGATCCAGGCCTCCAAGAGGATTCCTGGCTGGATCCAGCTCTGATAGGATCCTACCAGTGCTCGGTCCAACTCTAATGAGATCGGGCTATGTGGTCTGGGTGCAGGACTCGGTCCAGCCTTAGTGCGACCCTACTAAGGCTCGATCCAGCGTTAATCGAACCCTAGAACAGCAAGATCCAGCTCTGATAGAATCCGACTCGGGCTGGATCCAGCTGTAATGGATCCCCCTCTGGTTCGAATCCCGGGGAGGGGGGGGCTCTCATTCCCGCCCCACCTTGATCGAGGTGGGAAGCTCTTTTGCCCTCGAACTGGATCGGCTTGCCAGCCGCGACAGAAAACGGTCTGTGCATCCTGACCCGCGTGGGGCACCACCCCGCTGGACATCTCAGGAGCCCACGAAAGCGGCGCGACAGTTTCACAGTTCGCAGATACCCAGGCAGCGCGAGCAGGAGGGAGAAGAGAGGCGAGGCGGCATGGCTGAGAGGAGGCAGGGTTGAGAGGAGGAGGAGGAGGAGGAGGAGGAGGAGGAGGAGGAGGAGGAGGAGGAGGAGGAGGAGGAGAGGAGGAGGGAGGAGTGAGGAGAGGAGGAGGAGGAGGAGGAGGAGGAGGAGGAGGAGGGAGAGGAGGGAGACCAGTGCTCCAGCTGCACGAAACACGAGAAGCAGCCGGGGGGGAGGCCTGGGGAGAAGGACACAACCTCAGAGCACGCGCGAGACGACCGTCTGCCGTCCGGCACGAAGGCGGCCCCCCCGTCGTTGCCCGCGTCGAAGGCCTCCGGCCCGAAGCGGCCGGGCAGGCAGTCCCAGGCGGCCTGCGCCGCGGCCACCACGCTCTCCCTGCCCCCGGCCGCTGCGGCCAGGGCGCTGCCGATCTGCGCCCGGCACTCCGGCACGGGGTGCACCTGTGGGGGCGGAAGGATGGGACGCACAAAGGCATACTAATAAATACTGTGCAGGGCAGTTTTTAAATCATGTTTTTTTTTGCAATATGGTTTTTATTATAATGCATGATCAATGTATGAATAAATGGATGCATGAACTCATCGTTGTTTTCCCAACCCTCCTGCGTTGGGTACTCGTTTTGAATAGAGCACTGCGGTCGCGTCTCCCCTCCTCCTCCTCCTCCTCCTCCGCCTCTCCTCCTCCCTCCTACCTCCTCCCCCTCCTCTTCCCGTCCCCCTCCTCTCCTCCTTCTCCCAATCTGCGAAAACCGTCGCCATTTTGGGGTGTGGGGGGCCCAGCACAGTGACGTCGTACGGGGGACTCAGATTCGGGGGGGACCCTTCGCCATCGCTGGGGGGGTGCGATCCGTCAAACTGTCGCCACTTCGAGGGCTGCTGGGGGGGGGGGCAGCGGAGTGGGACGTATTACGGGGACTAGATGAGACATCGCCAATCCCTGGGGGGCTGCGATCTGTGAAAACTGTCGCCACCTTCGAGGGGTTGGGGGGCCCAACACAGTTAACGTTTACGAAGACTCAGATTAAGACCTCGCCATCCGGCTGATGTGGGCCTGCGATCCGTGAAACTGTCGCCACTTTTCGAGGGCATGCTGAGGGGCCCAGAAACAGTGAAGTTCTTACGGGAAACTCAGATAGACGGCCATCCCTGGGGGCTGCGATCTGTGAAACTGTCGCCACTTTCGAGGGCTGCTGGGGGGCCCAGCACAGTGACGTCCTACGGGGACTCAGATTAGACCTCGCCATTCCTGGGGGGTTGCGATCTGTGAAATTGTCGCCACTTTCGAGGTCTGCTGGGGGGCCCAGCGGAGTGACGTCTTACGGGGACTCAGACTAGACCTCGCCATCCCTGGGGGGCTGCGATCTGTGAAACTGTCGCCACCTTCGAGGGCTGCTGGGGGGCCCAGCACAGTGGGTACCCACGGCGGATTCAAATGGGACCTCGCCATCCCTGGGGGGCTGCGATTTGTGAAACTGTCGCCACTTTCGAGGCCTGCTGGGGAACCCAGCACAGTGGGTACACACGGCGGACTCAAATGAGACCTCGCCATCCCTGGGGGGCTGCGATCTGTGAAACAGTCGCCACTTTCGAGGCCTGCTGGGGGGCCCAGCACAGTGACGCCACGGGCGGACCCAAATTAGACCTCGCCATCCCTGGGGGGCTGCGATCTGTGAAACTGTCGCCACTCTCGAGGCCTGCCCAGCACAGTTCTGCGCCGGGCGGAGCAAAACTAGACCTTGCCATCCCTGGGGGCTGCGATCTGCCGAAAACTGTCGCCCCTCCCCACTGTAGAGGGCTGCTGGGGGGCCCAGCACAATCTGCACCCGCGGCGCGACTTCAGAATGGGACCCGCATCCTGGGGGGGCTGCGATCTGTGAAAGCTGTCGCCACTTTCGAAGCTTTTGCTGGGGGTGGCCCAGCACAGCTGCAACCGCGGCGGGACTCAAATGGGACCCCGCATCATGGGGGGCTGCGATCTGTGAAAACTGTCGCCACTTCGAAGCATGCTGGGGGACCAAGCACAGCTGCACCCGCGGCGGACTCAAATGGGACCTCGCCATCCCTGGGGGGCTGCGATCGGCGAAACTGTCGCCACTTTCGAGGCCTGCTGGGGGGCCCAGCACAGTCTGCACCCGCGGCGGACTCAAATGAGACCTCGCCATCCCTGGGGGACTGCGATCTGCGAAACTGTCGCCACTTTCGAGGCATGCTGGGGGGCCCAGCACAGTCTGCACCCGCGGCGGACTCAGATGGGACCTAGTCGTCCCTGGGGGGCTGCGATCTGCGAAACTGTCGCCGCTGCCGAGGCCTGCTGGGGGGCCCAACACAATCTGCACCCGCGGCGGACTCAACTGGGACCTCGCCATCCCAGCACAATCTGCACCCGCTGCGGATTCAAATGGGACCTTGCCATCCCTGGGGGGCTGCGATCTGTGAAACTGTCGCCACTTTCGAGGCCTGCTGGGGGGCCCCGCGCAGTCTGCACCCACGGCAGATTCACATGGGACCTCGCCATCCCTGGGGGGTTGCGATCTGCGAAACTGTCGCCACTTTCGAAGGCTGCTGGGGGGCCCAGCGCAGTGGGTACACACGGCAGACTCAAATTGGACCTCGCCATCCCTGGGGGGCTGCGATCTGCGAAACTGCCACCACTTTCGAGGGCTGCTGGGGGCCCAGCGCAGTGGGTACACACGGCGGACTCAAATTGGACCTTGCCATCCCTGGGGGGCTGCGATCTGTGAAACTGTCGCCACTTTCGAGGCCTGCTGGGGGCCCCAGCACAGTGGGTACCCACGGCGGACTCAAATGTGACCTCGCCATCCCTGGGGGGCTGCGATCTGTGAAACTGTCGCCACTTTCGCGGCCTGCTGGGGGGCCCAGCACAGTGATGCCACACGCAGATTCAAATTAAACCTCGCCGTCCCTGGGGGGGTACGATCTGTGAAACTGTCGCCACTTTCGGAGCCTGCTGGCGGGGCCCAGCGCAGTGACGCCTCCCAAGTAGCTTACACATCAAGTTGATCGTCCATACAAGTTTCGGCCAACTCCTCGTTTCCATTTATACAAATGGGTTGGGTACGCCACAAGGGGATTTAATACTAAATCCCTGCATTTTTTATACTTGATCTGCACGCGGAGCATGTATTCAAAACGGCACTGTACGTCCTCCTTGGAGGCGCGCGTCCGACCTGAACATTACCCTGTGACGTACCCAACCCATTTGTATCAATGGAAACGAGGAGTTCGCTGAAACTTGCATGGGCAATCAACTTGATGTGTAAGCTACTTGGCACACGCGCCTATGGCATGATGCGCAGGATAACCATACAAGAACCGGGGGCGACAGCTACAAGCTCGAAGAGGACATGGGGAGTCGGGAACGAGGAGCAGGAGAAAACGTGCGGGAAGCCGAACCATCAGCACGGCAGCAGCAGAGGGAAGGTGACTGCAGGAGAAGAACATGGACGAAAGCGCCGTCTAATTTGAGTCTGCGGTGGGTACCCACTGTGCTGTGCCCCTCAGCAGCCCTCGAAGGTGGCGACAGTTTTATAAATCGCAGCCCCCCAGGGATGGCGAGGTCTAATTTGAGTCTGCGGTGGGTACCCACTGCGCTGTGCCCCTCAGCAGCCCTTGAAAGTGGCGACAGCTTCACAGATCGCAGCCCCCAGGAATGGCGAGGTCTAATTTGAGTCTGCCGTGCGTACCCAGTGTGCTGTGCCCCTCAGCAGCCCTCGAAAGTGGCGACAGTTTCACAGATCGCAGCCCCCCAGGGATGGCGAGGTCTAATTTGAATCTGCGGTGGGTACCCACTGTGCTGTGCCCCTCAGCGGCCCTCGTAGTGGCGACAGTTTCACAGATCGCAGCCCCCCAGGGATGGCGAGGTCTAATTTGAATCTGCGGTGGGTACCCACTGTGCTGTGCCCCTCAGCAGCCCTCGAAAGTGGCGACAGTTTCACAGATCGCAGCCCCCCCAGGGATGGTGAGGTTTAATTTGAGTCTGCGGCGGGTACCCACTGTGCTGGGCCCCCCAGCAGGCCTCGAAAGTGGCGACAGTTTCACGGATCGCAGCCCCCCAGGGGTGGCGAGGTCTAATTTGAGTCCGCGGTGAGTACCCACTGTGCTGGGCCCCCAGCAGGCCTCGAAAGTGGCGACAGTTTCACAGATCGCAGCCCCCAGGGATGGCGAGGTCTAATTTGAGTCCGCGGTGAGTACCCACTGTGCTGGGCCCCCCAGCAGGCCTCGAAAATGGCGGCAGTTTCGCAGATCGCAGCCCCCCAGGGATGGCGAGGTCTAATTTGAATCCGCGGTGAGTATCCACTGTGCTGGGCCCCCCAGCAGCCCTCGAGAGTGGCGACAGTTTCACAGACCGCAGCCCCCCAGGGATGGCGAGGCTAATTTAAGTCTGCGGTGGGTACCCACTGTGCTGGCCCCCCCAGCAGCCCTCGAAAGTGGCGACAGTTTCACAGATCGCAGCCCCCCAGGGATGGCGAGGTGTAATTTAAGTCTGCGGTGGGTACCCACTGTGCTGGCCCCCCCAGCAGCCCTCGAAAGTGGCGACAGTTTCACAGATCGCAGCCCCCCACGGACGGCGAGGTGTAATTTGAGTCCGTGGTGAGTACCCACTGTGCTGGGCCCCCCAGCAGGCCTCGAAAGTGGCGACAGTATCACAGATCGCAGCCCCCCAGGGATGGCGAGTCTCAATTTAAGGTGTGCGGCGAGTACCATGTGCCAGGGCCCCCCAGCAGGCCTCGAAAGTGCCGACAGTTTCAAAGATCGCAGCCCCCCAGGGATGGCGAGGTCTAATTTGGGTCCGCGCGTGGCGTCACTGTGCTGGGCCCCCCAGCAGGCCTCGAAAGTGGCGACAGTTTCACAGATTCGCAGCCCCCCAGAGTTTGGCGAGGTCTGACTGGTGTCCGCCCGTGGCGTCACTGTGCTGGGCCCCCCAGCAGGCCTCGAAAGTTTTTGGGGGGGCTGGCGACACGGTTTTCACAGATCGCAGCCCCCCAGGATGGCGAGGGTGTTTCAGGTCTTTGCGGTGAGTACCCACTGTGCTGGGCCCCCCAGCAGGCCTCGAAAGTGGCGACAGTTTCACAGATCGCAGCCCCCCAGCTGGCACGCAGCGACGAGCGAGGTAAAAGGCAAGGGGGGCGTGAGGGACGGGAGGGGGTGGGAAGGAGACGCGCGAGCAGTGCTCTATTCAAAACGAGAACCAACGCAGGAGGGTGGGGAATTACCTGGCCGACGTACCCAACCCTGCGCAAAAGCGGGGGCGCAAATAGTTTAGGATACTTTATAAGGGGGCGAATGACAGGAGCGAGGGTGTTACCATGTCTGCAGACGGAATTGGGAGACTCGCAGGAAACACTGGCTACAGGGAAAAGGGCTTGATAAAGCTGATGATTTACAATTCCTGTAGCCAGTGAGCCACTTCGAAAACGGGG